ACACTGTCAATGACGTGTTGGATTCTGTCCATCCAGCCCAAAGAAGGTTACTCCAAGAGAATTCCTCGTAGACTCTATTTAGTTGTCCAGCAGGGAATCCAACAGATGGTATTCATTTATATGGGTTCTATGCCTTCTTGTCATTCTTTATTCTCTGCTATCTAGAAGAATATCGGAAAATTACACGTGTAGTTAGGATGGTTGTTACTTGAAAAGAAGTGGAAGACTGGAACAGGACTAGATAAAACTCTTCTAATAAAAGACTAGATATAGCTTGCAGAAAACTAGATCGGTATGACAGAAGAATAGATACTGCTGATAGAGGGCTAGATACTACTAATGAAAGATTAGATACTGCTAATTAAAGACAAAATACTGATAATAGAACAGTACGTATTGCTAACTGAGGACTTGAAGCTGCAAATAGAAAACTGGATACAGTTTCTAAAAGACTGAAGAAAAAAGAAGAATAGATACTGCTGATAAAGGACTGGATACTACTAATGAAAAACTAGATACTGCTAATGAAAGGCAAGATACTGATAATGAAAGACTAGATACTGCTAACTAAAGGCTAAACGTTGCATATAGAAGCCTGGACACAGCTAAATACTGGATAGTGCCGACAAAAGAATAGATACCTCTGGTAGAAAACTAACTATTACTATTGAAAAACTAAATACTGTCAATAAAAGGCTAGGCGTTGCAAGTAGAAAACTAGATACAGTTTGCAAAAGACTTAATACTTCTGATATACTGCAGATACTGCTTATGGAACACTAAAAACTGCTTATGAAACACCAGATACTAGTAATAGAAGACTATATACTGCTTGTATATGATTACCTGCTGTTTACAAATAGTACTTGTCATGCTAGCAAAAGTCTGATGAATACTGTGTACAGAAGATAAGGTATTACAAATGGAACGTATTGATACTTTATGTTATATCGTATATGAAGTTATATAAAACACTTATGTGTTAAAATAATAAACGATTTATATCAAAACTTGATACAAATATTCATATTTGATTAAATTAGGTAATTGCGCTTTTAAATTATGGTGTTTACGCACATTGTTACGTACATATAAGCATTTTCTAGAACCGGTCAATATTTACTCAGAGCACATCAAAATTTGTATATTCATCAAAATTTTAAGGTCGAAGTTTTGAACGATTGCTTTCTAGGTACTTTGTATACAGAGAAATTATATCATTTTGCAAAACAATCGGCGTGGTATAAAGATTAATTAATGTTTTAAAATGATTTAAAATTTCTTTACAACTAAGAAATGTATCAAAAAAATTATTTTCTATAAAAATACTACTATATTTTTTTTAGGCTTTTTATAATCATACCATGAGCTTATAAGAAGCGACATTCAAATACGCTTATGATATATTTTTATTGTTGATTCTTTTTATGCATAAACAAGAAAAGTGACAGCTGACTATAATAGCATTAGAAAAACGACGAGAGTGTGTTGTTGCTTCGTTTGGCTTCGTAGATGGCGACCTCAAGTATTAGGGTATCTGTTTTACCACTACTTTTTATTGCTACTAGATATAGATTGCAGAAAACTAGATCAGTATGGTAGAAGAATAGATACTGCTGATAGAGGACTAGATACTACTAATGAAAGGCTAAGCGTTGCAAATAGAAACCTGGACACAGCTAAATACTGAATGAAAACTAGGTACTAGTAATAAAAACTAAATACTACCAATGAAAGACTAGGCATTGCAAGTAGAAGACTATATGCAGATTGCAGAAGATTTAATACTTCTGACAGAAGAATACATATTGTTCATTGAGGGTTAGATGCTTCAAATAGAAGACTACATACTACTTGCAAACGACGAGATACTGTAGGTAGAAAAATAGATCTTGCTCTTTGAGTTCTGGATACGCTAATAAAGAGTTAGGCGCTACAAATGGAAGATTTGAAACAGTTTATAAACGACTAGATACTGCAGGTAGAAAAGTATACATATACTGTTTTTAAATTACTAGATACTGTTAATGAAAGATTAGATACTGCTTATGATACACTAGAAGCTGCTTATAAAAAACTAGACACTAGTAATAGAAGACTATATACTGTTTGTATAACAAAAGGCGGATAAATACTGTATACAGAAGATAAGATACTAGAAATGGAACATATTAATAATTTATGTTATATCATATATGAAGTTATATAAAACACTTAGAAATGTGATCATCAAAAGTGCCATTTCCGGTTGATCGATTTATATCAAAACTTGATACAAATATTGATATTTGATTAAATTAGGTAATTGCGTTTTTAAATTATTAAATAATTTTCTATAAAAATACTATTATATTTCTTTTAGCCTTCTTATAATTATAACATGAGTTTATAAAAAATGACATTCAAATACGCAAGCCTGTGATATATTTTTTATTGTTGATTTTTTACGCATAAACAAGAAAAGTGGCGACCTCATATATTAGGGTATCTGTTTTACCACTACTTTTTCTTTTGTATTACATCATCTTGCTAGATTGACAGATGATAATTTATTGGTATTGTGTAACTAAAGAATGAATTGACGAAGTGCCAATTAGTTACAAATTGCTACATTAATAAAATGTGAGAAAACCTAATTTCTTACGAATTGGGGTGTTAAATAATTGTTTGTCGTTGTCTCTCATTAATAAAGATAGCGAGTACATTCGTATTAATGAAAAGACATTCTATGAAAAGACCGTGGGATCATCAAACATTGGAAGTCTGTCAAACGTAAAACGTTTTTAAACAACACAACAAATTTTTTAGTAATCGGTTTTGGAACACATTGTGTTCCTGATATTTAATATCTTCCATATGTAAACAATGTAGCAGGTTTCAAATATCCGTAGTAGTCCGTATGTTTTCAGCCAACCCTACCCAGAAGTAGTGTCTAAAAATAACACACAATATCGTATGTAAGCATTACGGAACCACCAGTAAGTTTCCATCAGCACCATGTTGCTGGTATTCTTNCCCAGAAGTAGTGTCTAAAAATAACACACAATATCGTATGTAAGCATTACGGAACCACCAGTAAGTTTCCATCAGCACCATGTTGCTGGTATTCTTCTGCAATGGATGATATTCGGAATCAACCGGCATGTCAATAAGGTATTAAGCATATTTCTCGCAATTTAATTGGCAACAGATAAGGCTGATGTTCAGGATTTCGTGATTTTCTCCTCGAAAATAGAAACTAAACTTTCAGCTGATCGCTGAGCTGAAACGAAAGATGAATCTTGGGATTAATTTTTCGTAATTCACAAGGTAAAAACTGTCAATCATCCATATTGGGTTAGATTTGCCAAATCCCAAAAACAATTGTGAAACTCCCAAATTCACTAATATGATACTTTTCTAACAAAATAATTTTTTCATTGGCATCCGTTTTTGACATAAAAAATTTCTCCTGATTTATCAGCTAGACTATACTTGTGCCATTCATTTCATATGAATTAAAAACGGTGTAATATCTTTTTGAGTTATTTTGTATCCTAGAAAATCTATTGTTATTTTCGAGCGTTAGCGGAAAGTTAGTTTGTTGAAAGTTAGACCATTGATTGGTCTCTGGATTATGATGCAAGTTGGAGAAAATCTTTACTTGACTGAGGTTTCTTTAAGTTTTGCAGAGTTGAAACTTTCCATTTTCCTTGAATACTGTCTTAATCAGCGAACTATAATAGAATCAGCTCGCCTTAATGTTAATCCCAACAAGCATTTATTTGCTTAACTCACGATGACTTATTTGTTTATATGCCTTTTGAAAAAATTTCGGGCGTTTCAAAAGATCTTTCAAATTTTATTTCCAACACTTTTTCATAAAACTATTGTTGTTTGAGTTTAGATATCATTTATCATTTTAAAGAAGAATAGAAATTAATACATAAATTTTTTCAAACTGTGATTATTTTATAATCATAAACCTTGAATTTATTGAATTATAATGTGATTATAATCGCAACACAAAAAATAAAAAAGTAATAATTAAAAATTTATATTAATTCTATAATAATTGTTCAAAAAAGATTTTTGTGATTATCGAATTCCAAACATTACATTCTCAGACGAGATCGGTATTAGAAAAAAAATCTCAATAAATTCTAAATCTATCTTTAGAATCTTCTGTCTTGTACTTGTACTCGTTGTCATTGATTTTTGTTCTTTTTGGCCTCATTATAAATCGTAANATTATCGAATTCCAAACATTACATTCTCAGACGAGATCGGTATTAGAAAAAAAATCTCAATAAATTCTAAATCTATCTTTAGAATCTTCTGTCTTGTACTTGTACTCGTTGTCATTGATTTTTGTTCTTTTTGGCCTCATTATAAATCGTAAACGTTTCCTTTGCGGTGTTAACATGCCTCTATCGAAAATACTTGACTGGCGATTACTCGTTTCGTGCTAACCAAAGAGATTATACCGTATATGGTGTGGATTAAAACGTGACATTACCTTAAATAACCAGGTCAAATTGTAATATTATCGTTGGTACAAATCTAGTTTTCTTTTCTTTTTAAACGGTTAAATTGGATGGAAAAGAGAAATTTCTGTTCAGAAAAGAAAAAGCTTGCAATTAGTGGAAATATAATAATTTCAATTCATTAAATCGAATTTCTATACGGTTTTTTTTCGGTTATTTGATTATATAATAAATTGTTTTAAATTTAAAAATAAAATAGATATTTTCTGCTTGGAAATGTACAAATGGTTGTTTGAGATTTTGAACGTGTTTATTTGAAGGCGTCGCCCAAAAACTGGACGTACTCAAGGTAAATGGTCGTGTTTATGCAAAACCGAAAGTGGAACGAACATAATCGTTACTAAAACATCTTTTATTTGGATTTTGCAAAGCGGATTCGCAATTTATTTTGATTTAATATATAAATATGTTACATTATTTATAAAGGTAATTTTTTCTTATTTTACTCATTTTATTTTTTTCTTCTTTTTTTAGTTATCGTTAGTGCCGATTTTTATAAGAACCAACGAAGACAAAAACAACCAACGAGTTTCTTATGTCCTCCAAATTTTGTGAGAACAAAACATAACAAATGTTACTATTTTAGTAGAAACGCCGAAAGTTTCGACCAAGCTTATTGGTCTTGCGTCTCCAAACAGAGTACTTTAGCTGTCATTAGAGGGAAGAATCAAGATAAAACATTGAGAAGATTGTTAAACAAAAACAAAATCCGTAAGTATTTGTTATTTATTAAATAATTAATATTTATCTAAAGCTTTTTCTTTAATCGTAACCCCAAAGAGAAAGTTTACGATAATAAATTTACGATTTTTTTTTGCAAATCAATTAACAAGTAAAACTCCTTTAAATATATTTAACGCGGGCTGGGTTTATTTCAAGTTCCAGTAAAATACTTTTAACCACACAGCTGCTGCGTGTAATTTTTTTCTTTTTTTTTAAGAAATTATCGAGATACATAAATCTTGCGACTGTGAAAGGGTATCATTACGTTGCATGAGACCCACCTCTTAAATCGTGACCACAGATAAATACCGAGCTTAAATATACGTTGATTGCAGATATTCAGTAGCAATTATATCGACGTTTTTGTCCTATTATTTATTATTGTTTCCTAGAACAACAATTTGTTTCGAAATAAAAATTACTAATTTTTATGTTATTAAAAACTTATTTATTACATACAGTAAAACATCGATATAATGGATTAATACAACAATTTTGTAATATTCAATAACTTCCTTCCAACACTCCCCCACGATCTTGCAGTATGGTCTTCTATCTATCATTTCTTCATATTTAACTGCTCTTCTGCTCGCCTCCACCCTCATTTTATCCACCTTCTTCCTCCCTCACAATATACCCCAATTTTTTCCTCGCCAGACCCAGAACCCACCTCTAGTACCGATTCTGTACGTCTTCCAGAATATCCTGCCTCTTCATCATTGCATTCCTCATCAACCCATCAAACATAATCTTCCCCCTTTGCAGAACATCATCATCTTTGTCTTTGCTACATTCACCTCCAACCCTTTCGCCCTGAAATACCTCTCCAAGTGTCTCAGTGAAGCTTTATCTACAACATCTAAAGGTGAACCACCCTGCTGGCCCAAGATTTCTAGCTGAGGTTGTTGTGGGTTGTTTTGTACCGGTTCGTGATTACTATTTGTACTGTTATCAAGTATCATTTGCAAAGGAGCTGGAGAATTTTGTGAGAAAAGATGATTTCGATGTTCTTTTTTGTTGATTTCCTTCTTTTTTCTAACATATATTGTGACCAAATTGATTAGATTAATCTGTTGAGGCATACTTAAGATTTTGGACCATTTCCTTACTAGCATTATCAAGCTTGATTATTACCGCAGGTCTAGAATTATTCAAGTTTTGAACTGTAAGAGTCATCGCTCTAGCTCCAAAGGGTAGGTTGATGTGGAATGAGTATATGCTTGATGCTATTGTTGCTCATATCCAAATGGTCTAAATTTATTTTTATTTGGATTGAAGGAATCTGAAACGTTTGCAACATGTCTTTACCAAGCTTCCAGTAGAGAAGCCAAGATTTCCAGTACAGGTTCTCCCATTCTCTATAGGTTGAACTGTATGACTCATTAATTTAGCTCTAAGGAGAGGAATGTTTTTATCCTCAACATTTAACACAGGAACACATTTTTAATTGATGTTTTGATTCGGCCAAAATGTTTGGTAGCATTGAGGTTGATGCCCAAATTGCCTAAATTGATTAAATCTATTGAAGGAATCTGAAACGTTTGTACAACTTCTTTGCCATTACTATCAAGTTTCATTTCCACTACAGGTTGAGAAGTCTCTGTATGTTGAACTGCAAGATTCATTGATTTAGCTCCAGGGAGAGGTGTGTTGTTATCTACAACATTTAACAAAGGAACATTTTGTTGATTAATGTTTTGATTTGGCTAAAATGTTTGGTGATATTGAGGTTGATACCAAAATGGTCTAAATTAATTATTGGTTAAATCTATTGAAGGAATCTATGACGTTTGTGCCAGTTCTTCTAACAGAACTGTCGCTTGAAAAATCACTTTTAGTTCTTGAGAAAAAAATTTTTGAAATAATCGACAGATATTTCGAATTTTTCAATTTTCGCCGATTAAGATTTAAAAATTTATATCAAATCTAGTTCTTGGAATATGAGTATGAAAGTTTCCCAAAGTGTTAATAAAGCTGTCCTCTTTCCAATGAACCAACCCGTTTTAAAAAATAACTTTTAGTTTTTGAGAAAATAATATTTGAAGTTTTGATAAATATTCGATGATGCAATTTTCATCGATAATTTTCAAAATTCGCTATAAAATTAATTTCTTGAAGGATGCTTGTAGAAATATCACCAATTATTAATTAAAGTATCCTCTTTTTAATGCAAAAAGCCGTTTTGAAAAATCACTTTTAGTTCGTGAGAAATAAATTTTTGAAATAATCGACAATTTTTCGAATTTTACAATTTCCGCCGATTAAGTTTTAAAAATTTGTATAAAATCCAGTTCTTGGAATAGGAGTATGAAAATTTCCCAAAGTGTTAATAAAAGTGTCCTCTTTCCAATGAACCAACCCGTTTTGAAAAATAACTTTTAGTTTTTGAGAAAACAATATTTGAAGTTTTGATAAAATTTTCGATGTTGCAATTTTCATCGATAATTTTCAAAATTTGCTATAAAATTAATTTCTCGAAGGATCCTTGTGGAAATATCACCAATTATGCATTAAAGTATCCTCTTTTTAATGCAACAAGCCGTTTTCAAAAATTACTTTTAGTTCTTGAGAAATAAATTTTTGAAGTGATCGAAAATTTTTTCGAATTTTTGAATTTACGCCGATTAAGTTTTAAAAATTCATATAAAATCCATTTCTTGGAGTATGAGTATGATAATTTCGTTTAGTTTAATAGCGTTTAGTTTTTGAGAAAAGTTTTGATCAAATTTTCGATGTTGCAATTTAAATCAGTACCAAAAAGGTTCATTTTGTATCTTGGATCCAAATAAGTTGACATATCTAATCAGATTTTGCTGCTCAAAATAGTCTAGTAGAACATTCCTAGCTTCTTCAGCCTCCTGATTCCTTACTCGCTTGACTAATACCATTTTACCAATTTCTTCGTCTCTCATTTTCGAATGAATAAGACTGCGTTGTACTAAGTTGACCCAAAACTTCTTCAACTATATCCTCGTTGTTAAAAGAAGCATTTTTTGATCTCATCATCGATTCCCTTGAACTCATTGGCGTTTTGTACTAATGCAATTACTTCAAATTTAGTTCTTTCTTCCTCACCAGATGCTAAGACAATGCTTTCATCTTCCTCCAGTGTCATTATACAGTAAAATGTTTTTGCCATTGTCAAAATTGCATCTTTGATCGTCAATGATTTTTCAAAACTTCATCAGGTCAACTTCATCCAACAAATTCAGCATTAATTCTTTCCGGTAAATTCGTTTCATTGTCTCATTGACACCTTGATCCATTGGTTGTGTAATTGATGTAACATTACTTGGAAAGAAAAGAACAAAGAAATTTCCTTTTGCCTTTTGAAGAAACTTTTCCTTCTTCAAATACTTTAATTACGAATTTACTGCGGGAATGAACTTCTTATGAAACCAATATTGGAAGATGTCACAAGTTATCCAAGCAGCATGGACCCAAATGGTGCAAATTGATTATGGATTAAACGTTTTCTCCAACCCTGAGTTTATGAACATGGAATAGAGCAACTTTGGGGAAAACCCGAGTTGGATTCCATCTATGAGCGCTAACATTTATATTTAATAATATTAATAATATGATTTAATAATATTTTGTCCGTTATATCGAAATTTTACTGTATTTATTTTTATTTTAGAACATGTTGAGCGTTGGATTGGTGCACGATACAATTGGGAAAAAAAGAAATGGCAATGGGCAGAATCAGGAAAATTATTAAATTACACCGGTTTTGAGAATACACCCCAAGACACAAACGCTTGGCAATGTATTATTTTAGATCCAAAATATTATTATCGATGGAATTCTAAAAGTTGTCTTGAAAAAAAACATTTCATTTGTCAAACGCGTTTAAAGAAAACCAACATTTTAACGAATTACGAAAATTCAAACTCAACAAAATACGATAAAAGCTTAAACGAAGTTATACCAGAAGTTGCCCATAACGATATTCCAACAAATTTCGAATTAAACGACAAATTTAAGAATACCGATTTCATTGGGAAAACATCATCGGCTTATTCCCCTAAACCAAGAAAAAATAAAGGGTTACGAAGGAAAGGGAAAGGAAGAAAGAGGAAAAATAAGAAAGAAAATAAAGATTTAAGTAGAGATAATGAAACGCAACAAGATGCCCCAATTCCTAAAGAAGGTAAAATGGGGAAAGCCATTAAATATGTGACTTATCACGGAGAAGCAGTTGGCCCTTTACATCCGAGGATAATAATCGAAGATTTTGATTTTTTAAAAAATGAAACTTCAGCACAAAATTAAATATACGCAAAAATTAATCCAAAAAGTATATTCAATAAAAAAAATTATAGACTATTTTTTTATTGATTATATATTTATCAGTATAAGAGTCGGTGTCGCCTCGTTTTGTGATGATAATGTTCAAATTAATTAATTTGCATAAATGTGTTCTTGTGACTTAAAAAGAAAATAAGTTAAAAAAAATGTATGGTTTAAGATTTTTTTTAGTTTTAATTTTTAATAAATTGCGTAATAATTAAAAAATTAATTGAATAAAATTATTATTGTAAAGTATTAATTTATTGTTTCGCGAAAAATGTTCCTTTTTACTTAAATCACTTCACTATTGTTTTTTTAATAAATAAATGTTATAATAAATTAAATTTAAAACTGAAAAATTTTCGCTTATTTTTAATTTTTAATCTACATTGTATATCAACTTCTCTTTTTCTCTTATTTCGCTAAAAATAATCAAGAAAGTCTCATAAAGTACGTTTCTTACGACCAGTAAGTATTCGCTTATAATAAACATGCCAAGTATACAGTTTAAAGCGCGTATTGTGACTTTAAATATAGAAACAACAAAATGATTTTTTTTTAATAAATTACAGTTTTCTATTTGTAAAAAAATTTTGAATAATCTTCAAATAACAAAAAACAGATGTCGCTCGTTTCAATCAAGTACTTTACCTAAAAATAAATTACAGCAATCTATCTTTCGAATTGTATATTTAAACTTGCGTCTTTGGAACGCGAGTCATCATCCTCGTTTTTTAATCGACTTTGCTAGAATGTCGTTTAACTGTGAAAGAACATTTGGCACATTTCCAAACTGTAGTTACATTTTATCGACAGCGATTCAGATTTTCAATGAAACAGTAGAAGTATATTTTCTTGGAATAAAATAAAAATGATACGAGTTAAATCTGAATGAATCAGTTTTATGATCGTATGTAAATTATTTTTCGGTGGTTATTGTATGGAAATTTTGTATGGAAGATTTTAAAAAGTTATTTACTTGATTGATGATGCATTTCACTCGTTCTGAAACAAACAATAAAACTTTTTGAACAATTGGGAACTGACTGTATATACAGGGTGTTAAACTTTGAATCTTAGAAAGTTCTTATCTTTTATCTATTTTTACTTAGGTTCAAGTAAAAATAGGTTATTGTATTGCGACTATGAGATTTATCATTTATTTAAATTTTAAAGGTTTTTATTTTATCACTATGTTCTTCGAATCTGCATTTCTCAGTCATCTATGTTGTGAGTTCAACTCACAATAAAACTACTATTAATTTTCCTCAAAATGTTTTGCCATTATAAAATAATTCTTTTTTTCAAATGATATAAACCGAGTTATACTAAGGGTTACACCTTGTAAGTAATGTCTATTGGTTGATCAACTTAAAATTTTCGTCCAATTTGAAAAGAAGGTGCTGGTGTGTGTTCCAGACTGGACGTCGCGCCTTTATTTTATCTACATAAAGAAATAAAGACGCGACGTCCAGTCTGGATCACATAAAAAGGACACCGCGGAGTCGAAAATTTCAAATTCCCATATGTTACATAGAAATATACAGTAATTACAACAAACTTTACAAAGATATCGATCTCTAAAGTGAGGGGTCTTTTCGACTTTTGGTTTTATGCTGTAAATGGTAAAGTTTAAACACAAGAATTTGGTCATGCGGAATCCTCTCGTCTCATGAAATCGCTTTCTTTCTTAGAAACTACAGTCCACAGTGTTATGTACTAAGTATTCCATAATTTATTTAGTTGCTTAGAAAAGATATATTATACATATACAGATACATATCATCTTTAAAGGATTATAGCCCTCGTAAAATTTTTTTGTTTGGCTATATCTTAACGGAAGATTTTCCAAAAACAGATATTTCACACTGGGTGAACTAAAGATGATGCAAAAAAAGTGCTTTATTGTAATTACCACAACGACGAACACAACCTTAGCACTTCTAAGATTGCTTAACATTCAATTAGTACGATACACATCTTCATTTATTGAGCATTTGAAGTGAAAGTTTTGTTTATATTTATGCCATCATTTGAAGTACGAAAAGCTTTTTTGGCTCGCGTCCAACATGTGTTCGATTTTCTAAGAAAAATTCGTTTTCTCGGTTTATAGGGCAATTTAATTGGTTATTTTTTAGCCTTCCTATACAGATGTACCATAATTCCGTAAACATTCAGATATCATATATATATAGCACCGAACTAATAAGTCGTATGAACATCAGTTTTTTTTGAAATTTAATTTGAAAACAATTTTACATGGCAAATGATTTACAGCCATTGGTAAAGAGAAAACGTAATTTCATCCGAAAACACTAACTCCTAGTTTTGTGAAGATGTTAGGAATGTGGCAGAAGTAACTGAAAAAACTCCAGAATAAGATAACTATAAAGAGAGATTAATGAAATAATAATCATCAATGGTATGGACTATGAGTGTATGAACCTGAAATCCATATAGATAGAAGAAGTCCATAAAAAACTTGGAAAACTCAGAAGCAGAAATTTTCCCAGAACCGACAACATACCTAATAAATTACCAAAAAAGTGGAGGCACAGAACTTCATAGATCGAATTCAAATCGTCGACTATAAAAAGAACATGGTTCTCTTCGCTTTAAAAACTAAATGCATTGTTGTAGCAACGAAGCCATGAAGATATAAGCTGAAAGTCATTGAATTGGACATTATTTGAGTGTCCATATTTCAAGCACTCATGATACTGCAAAAGACCTGAGAAGTCAGATCGGCATAACGTCACCAATTTCAGTATTTTAGCCCGAAAATACTACATACAAGACTGGAATTGCACAATAATTACACGATATTGAAATACGCGAAGATATAAAAAAAACTAAGACCATGTTAAGAGTAGCAGAAATAAAGACCGTGATAACAATTTTAGGAAAAACCAGATGGAACATAATTAAGAACTTTGCCATTAGTGAGCAATGCGAGGTTCAGCACATTCTATAATGGTGAAGACTGCGCAAGAAATTATGTTGTTATGCACAATTACGTCTGTAGAACGCCGAAAATTCTGCTTATAAATAATTCGCTCAGAACGAAACCACCAGGCAGACCACCAAAGATATGGAGAAGCAGCTGCCAGGAGATATTTCAGTGGCACAACTTATCAGGAACAACAGACTCAACGGGTTAGTGAGACCAAAGAAGAATTAGAAGGTAACTCATAAGGATTTTTAATTTTATCATGTATGGGTATAAAATCTTCAATAGGTTCTTTTGCAGCGTGCTTATAAATTTTTAATTTAATTTAAGTATCATGTACTAAGAAGGAAAGAGAAGAAGAGGTTGGTGGTCAGGTTTAGATATACCAATGAAGAGAAGGCCAATAGATACTGGGTGGAGGATGAGGAGAGATACTGGGAGTCTTTACACCATCTGCTGGTGAAGTGCAACGAGTTGATGGACTGGTGGCAGGTGCTTGGTGAGGTGGATGAGGGAAGTTGTGACAGCGAGGAGACTTGATTAAAAATAATTTAAAATACAGGTATTTTTGGGTTTACTTTATTAACATCGTTGAACTGTGATTCAGAGATGCGATTGGAATTGAGATGTTTTAGTTGACAATATCTTAACAAACGCTCCCCTTCCTAATTAGATATCTTCAATTTGATGACTTGGATACCTGACATGAGAAAAAGTTGCCTAAAAAGGTTCACCCATAAGAGACATCTTTACAATATTTGTCAGCAATTGTACGAATGTTTACAGATTCATCGAATATAAAGCCATCAATGTGAAGTTTGAGTGATTTTGAGAAAGGTATGTTTTCAAGCAGTATATTCCAAGTAAGCCAAACAAAGGATACAAAATATTCGCATTTATCAGGATCAATAAACAGGAGATAAGACCAAGGCCAAAATTATTACTTGCTATGATTCCAACAAGGATACCATGAACACTGTTGATGAATTATGTGCCATCTATAAGGTACGCCCTCATGAATGTGACGGGCATTAATTTTCAAATCATTTACACAGCGAATAATTGGTGGATTAAAATACTTCAAAGAATTATCAGAAACGATTGACATCTAGACTTATAGAACCAAAATCACTTGTTACATGGATTTGGATGTGCTGGTGTAGCAAAATATGGCAAATTGATCCTGTTCACTGTGAACGTATCCCTAATTTAATTTAAAATTGTGCAAAATAGATTGCAAAAGAAATACATTCTGGGCAGATATATTCAAGTGGAAAAGTTGGTTACAAAGAAGATTTTATCTGAGAACTTTGGAGATCTATTGTTAAATGGAAATTACTATGGATATCCGGTTATATCTATCCGGCCATTATGGTTATAATTTCTGAAGTGATACCTTACATTGCCACATTATTGCGATATTTGAATAAAAATGAAATTAATAAGAAAATTGATAAGATATGTCAACTTATTTGGATCCAAGATACAAAATGCACCTTTTTGTGATGATTTAACTAACTGAGGATACTTTATATACTTTTATTGTTTTCTCAAAAACTAAAAGTTATTCTTCAAAACGGATTGGTTCATTGGAAAGAAGACACTTGTGGAACATTTCATATTCATATTCCAAGAAATGGATTTTATACGAATTTTTATAACTTAATAGGCGAAAATTGTAAAATTCGAAAAAATTTGCGATCATTTCAAAAATTTATTTCTCAAGTACTAAAAGCGATTTTTCAAAACGGCTTTTTGCATTAAAAAGAGGATACTTTAATTAATAATTGGTGATATTTCCACAAGGATCCTTCAAGAAATTAATTTTATAGCGAATTTTGAAAATTATCGATGAAAATTGCAACATCGAAAATTTTATCAAAACTTCAAATATTGCCAACATTACTTCTAAAAGTTA